TTCTCAGCATCTCTTTTTATTTCTCAGAACTTTTGTTAAGTTCCTACAATTGTTGTGAAGTCAACGGGACTGAAGATCTCTAATTGTTCATAATGTTAGTAACAAACTTCAAATATTTTGTTTTCCCTTAATTCTGGCACTTTGAAAATTTTTAAGAATATTTTGTGGTCTTAGAATTACTCAAATTAAATAAATGTTAAACTTCAAGAATAAATGGATTCGATTGTACAGCTGATTCTTTAAAACTGATTATGATGTTGTTGTACCAAAAAAAGCATTTTCTAAAACATAGCTTTCTTATTAAATATCTGGAAATTACCCGTTATAGTTCTAGAAAAATCAGATAATTCTATTTAGCCAAATAAGTGGACACTCTGTAAATAAAGAAAGACGATTATACGTCCAAAAGCTCTGTAGAAGCAACACATTTTCGAATCATTCGAAAATTAGAACAACATGTAGACATCGATTGGACTATCTGATCCTACAGAAGAATCATAAATCTTGAAATAAATTCACGCTACAAAAATTGAAAATAGTGACTGATTACAATAAAAGTGACTTTAGTGACTTGGCCTTAGAAAAGGAGCCTTTATAGTGACTAGCTTGAAAAAAGTGACTCGCTACCAGCCCTGTATTTGAACTGCCCTTTGATTTTTTAATCGGTCTAGATGTTCTCAGTTCTAAAGAAGATCTCGATTCTGCTCTGAAATAAATGTAATTCTCGTAAAGTTTACAGAAATTCTGTTGGCTTCTGTGTACTTCCTGAAAATTTCTGAAATTATCATAAATTTTCTGAAGGTCTCTTTGCTTTCCTGGAATTCTCGAAACAACTTAAGGGTTTTCGCACAGCTTGGAACTATACTGAATTTAACTTAACTCACGATTAAAGATCTTTAAACTGCTCCAAAAGTTTGGACTAAAGTTACGAGAGTTATTCTTAAGATCTCTGAATTTTCCCGAAGATTTCTAGATCTAGCTTCTTACAGGTTTCCGAAATTTTCTCAAGTTCTCTTTATTTCTGGAGTTCTCTTGACTCCGGTGAAGTTCTCTGATTTGCAATTATAATTTTTGATTTATTTCAAGTTTGTTATCAACTTTATGATAGATTAGAGGTTTTCAGTGAAGTCCCAGTAACTTTTCAGTGAAGTCCCAGTAACTAACGGGAAATTTTCTTTTACAATACTTTATCCATCTAAATGATTTTGAAATCAAGTTTAACCATTATTTGTCCACTATTAATGGAATTACTGATAAATATTTACTATTAATACAACAAAGGGTACCCAAAACATCTCGAACAGTTTGCGTACGGTTTGTTGAGCCGGTACGTACTGTTTGGTTTCCTTAAATTCCGCTTGGTTTTCAGCGCTGCAACCTAGGCTGAACCTCCGTATCTCAGTATCAACGTAAATACACTAGCTAGGAGTCGTCCCGAGATGTTCGGTATAATTCTGGCTACCGCGTTTATGGCCTTCACTTATTGAAGCCAAACGGTCGTCGACTATCACTCCCAGCCATTTCAAGACGCACTTGTAGCTTTCTGACTTTAAAGTGAAGTGCCTCGAGAAAAGTCCGTCCACAATGACTTTCAGGTTCTCTAAGCACATTTCAGCGGGCATGACTTGACAGCTGATCTTCGTCATCACGACACGGTGTGCGTCGTTGGCAGCAGCGTCTCGACCCAGCTCCAGTTGACAGTTTGACTTGCTCTGCTTTATCTCTCGTTCATGTGCTCGGAACATTCCTCTACGTTCCTCCATGTCTGCTTCTGTTCTTGCTCTCACGTGTTCTGGCTCTGAGACAACTAGCGTGGAGGGTGCTAATTACCTAATTGCAGCAATAAGCTGGAGGTCGTCTGTTTCCTCGGCATGGTCATGTCACATGATCTCCCTAACGATTCTGTCAACTCGTCTTCCACTTCAGGTCGCAAGTTCTCATCCTCTGTGCTGCCACAGGTTTCCGTTGGTCGACGCCATATCGGATTGCCTGATGGTCACTATGGGTATATCCTTCACACACTTTCCAATTCATGTTTTCCACCAGCGATGGACTGCAGTCCGCATGAAGTGACGTCGATAATGGATTCCCGGCCATCTCTGCGAAAAGTGCTGGTGGTGCCTTTATTGTACAGCCTAATTTCCAGCTTCCCCAGAGCTTCCAGCAGAATGTGCCCTCTTGCGTTGGTACATCTGTTTCCCCACTCCACTGCCTAAACATTGAAGTCTCCTCCGATGACTACCGGTCTTCGTCTGATCAGCTATTCGGTAAGTCCAACCAGCGTCTCGTGGAACTGCTCCATCGTCTATCGGGTGCGTAGCAACTGCATATGAATATTCCGATAATTTTGGCGATCACGAAACCTCCTTTTTGCATGGGGTATCTGCCCATAACTTGTTTTGCAGCCATCCCAGCTCTATCCGCCACCTAGTTACCTTTATCGGGATTGACTCGATACAGCTGTGCAGTGTCGCAAAGGAGGTTTATTTGAGTTACCCCTGTTATTGTTGCGACAAACAACTAAGCTAATTTGGAGCGAACTGCTTGAGAATTCATGCTTAAAAACCAAAATGTTCAGCAAAATCTTCAGGCTGACAAAATCTGGGAAAAAATGCTGACAAAATCAGGAAAGCACTGTATACAGAACCGCTTTGAGGTTCTTAAAGTTTCCAGTAAGTTTCACATGACGGGATTATTTCTCCGCATTTTTTTTTCTTATGAAATTCTTAGCATTTCTTTCCATTTCCAAGAACTTCAGAAAGGTTCCTACAATTGTTGTGAAGTTGATGGGACTTTACTGAAGATCTCTGAACTATCATAAAGTTGATTACAAACTTGAAATAAATCAAAAATGAGACTTACAAACTTGAGACAAATCAGTGATTGAAGTCAAATGTTCACAAAAGCAGATGCGTCCTAAACTCTAATCATTCTGGAATGTGGTTACGAAATTTAAGGCTAATATGATGTCCCACATATTTATTTTTTGGTTCCGGAATCTTGAAAATTGGGCAAGCTCTGAAATTTTGAATATTCGACCGAGTTCCAGAAGTTTGGCAAAGTCCTAGAAGCTTGAAATTGTGACTAAGTCCCAGAATATCTGCAGGTGTATTATATTTGGAATCTTCCAAATTGGCCTGAGTCCCAGAAACGTGAATATGTTTCAATGTTTCAAAATTTTGGAAATTGATATTCCGGAATCAAATATCCTGCAAATTTGCCCGAATAGCGAAAGTTATATAATTTAGCTGAAAATTTGGCATTTTGTTTCGGTGAAACTTGGATCCTGAAAATATTTTAAGATATATCTAATACAGAGATTTTGGAATTCTTACTTTAAACTATTAATCCTTAAATAACCTTGACAATCATGGTTATTTTCTGAGATCTTGTATAGAATACGTGCCAGAAATCGCCAGAAATTCAATGGTCATCGAAATTCTCCAAAAATTCGACAACTTGTTACCAAAGCTGGCAAATACATTTTCAATGAAAGATCTCTTGCAATTTTTACAAATAAGTAAGTGACTATCTTCATCTGCAAACACAATGGCAGAGATTTTCGTCCAGCAATGCTTGTTACTGACATTTTCTGTGTTTATCAACTTCACTTTTAACCTTCCGTGTGATCTTTCATAACGACCAAGGTCGCAAACGTAAACATTGACTTTTGTCCATGTAAGCGAAATGATTGTCCCACAAAATTATTGACTCAAGTTTCTTAGATCTACGTTCGAATCAGCTCCATCGCTGCATTACCTTTCGGGAATTATTCAGCCGGTTCTGCCCGTTCGGAGTTCTGCAGCAACTAGCGCCTAGTCCAACTTCAGATTCAGTTCACCATCCAGGTGCACACATGAGGTTCCCTAGCTCGCTGGACACAACGTATTTATTATACCATACATCCGCTTTTGCAAATCACTGAACCATAACTGGTGCCCAGCACCAACAACAATTAGCACACAAACACAATTTCACTTTTTTCCCTCTACCTCTTCACCAAAATTTGACCACCGTAACGCCAGTATCGAAAAACTAGGCTCGCTTTTGTTTTGCTGCTGTGCTTCTTTTAGGGGAAACTTCTTCGCTTTTGTTTTCTCGCACTGCACACTCAACGAACTTTTTTTCTCGCTTTCAATTCATTTACTTCTGCCGATGAACACATATCAACAAACACACCTTTTCTTGATTGGTTTCCAAGAATATCACAAGTCGTGCAATGCACGGCTGCTGCAACCCCTTGTACTGGTATTTAATATTTTCATGTGACGGTATTTTTGTTAGGCCATCCGCTTCGCCTTTGCCATTTTCCTCTCTTTCTCCACACGGAACACTATTTCACACACTGCTACTTTCCCGTGTCACCTCTTTTCACCTCGTGTGTGCCATAAACACACAGAGCACCAGCAAAAGGAAGACGCACGCGGAAGAGCGAACCAAGGAGCAACACACACACCGCGAGAGGAGAGAAAGACAGCTCCAAAAGAGAAACTCCGAAAAGAGACACTTTACACAAAAAGAAAAAAAAAGCGACTATGATTCCAATGTCGTCCGAATTGGCGAATATGTTTTCACAAATTTCACGACCATAAATGCGCTTTCCTAGGCGGAAAACTATCACAAACCGAAGCACTAACCGTGCGGTACACGAATCGCGAAGATTTTTCCGGTTCTACGGCACTTTGCACGGATTATTGTGCGAAAAACAAAGGATACGCGATTTTGAAGCACTACCGAAACCGAGTAGACAACCGTGTTTGACAAGATCACCACCTTGAAATTGTTGCGTTGGTGTGGCTAGTGACCACCAGAGGCATCTCGGCGGCCGATGTAAACAAAGATGGCGACGCGCGCAGCTCAGAAATGAACGTCACATCCAGTGATGTCCAGCGGTGAGGGTTGATCCGTGCGAGAAGGTCGACACTCAAATTGAACGTTTTTTTATGGAAGAATGCAACACGAACTAAAGAACAAATATTACAAAATCAAAAGCACAGACATTGCCTTTATTGCTAACGCATAACATGCACACATAAAAAATCGACTTTATATTATAACAATATAACAAACACATTAAATACAACAATCGCTGTACGGCAATTGGCCTTTAATCCTTCCACCACTTCAGATTCAACCGGGGGATAAGTTTGGAACGACAGGATACAAGTGGATTTCTGAAATAACAAAAGATTTAAATTAATTACCCAGCGAAATCTCAAACACCCCCATTTCTTACTTTTCGGCATGCGGTAAATTGAGCGCTTCCGGTGCCACCTCGAAGCTCTTCTTATCGTTCGCATTGGCGCACAGCACTCCGGCCAGGGTAATTTTCTGCAGTTCCTGCAGCTGCGGTTTCGTTAAATGACCCGGATTCGTCCGCGGTCCATTGCTATAGAAGTACCGATCGCCCTGCTTGAGTCGGGAAAATTGATCGCTAATGATTTCGGCAAACGTGGGCCCCACCACTCCTCCCCGGACAGGATGTTCCAGCATGCCTCCCACGTACAGATCGACGTCGTCCGGACGGGAGTACATCTGACTCAGTTTTTCGCCATGCGCTGGCCCATAGTCGGCGAAGCTGCGCTTGGCTTCCCGTCCGCTCAGATGCTGGTAGTAGTTGTAGGACTGGATGGCATGATCCCGTCCCCGTTGGATGTTGGTTGCTGCAATATCTTTTCCGTACGGCTGTCCTTCCTCGGGATTCAGGAACCACGTCATACTGTGGGTAAACATGTCGTCCACCTTCTGCATCGGTTGCGTCATTATGCCGTGGAATAGTTCGTCGAAAAATTTCGGCTCGGTTAAGCTGGACGGATCAAAATAGGTATCGTGCGTGTTCACCTGTCCTTTTGGGAATCTGCAAAGTATTTATCTCGTTTGTTAGTAATTACAATAGGACAAACTAACCGTACTCACGCAAATTGCCCTGGAATAGTCGAGTGTCCAAACCGGAATGCAGCAGCCGAAAACTCACTCGTAAGGGCCGGGTTCTTCTCCGGATTGTAGAACTTACTGTACCCCCGAGATGTATGCAAATCGTACATCTCCATGAAGTCCGGTCCAACGACTTTCGGCAGGTACTCGTTATAGATGATATGTTGCAACTCAGCGCTTACAATCCGGCGGGTTTCATGAAACAAAATATCATCATTCCAGTGGGGATTGATCTTCTCCAACGTCCTCGCAATGCGGTTATGTTCCCGTAGGAACAGCGTATGGAACGCAACTAGCGTAACGACCTGATTTAACCGATTATCGCCCGCTTTGAAGCATGCTCTTGCTTTCTTGTTGCAGGCCCCCTCTGTCTCCTCCAGCGGTAGCAGTTCGTTATGCATATGCCGATGTTCCATTGATTTCAAACGCCCTCCTTGATGCGCGCGAAGTTCATTGGCGACCTTCTTGGAGCTCCCGTATATCCCGGACCCATCGATGAAATGAGTGACCTCAGAAACTTGCCGTCCATGGCCAACCTGGCAACGGTCTAGGGGAGCCATCGCCGTCCGTACAAAGTGCATACATTTCACGTTGAACTGCGAGTAGAACGTGTCCTTGAAGGAAACCCGAATCGGCGAGCACGCCGGAGAGGGATGCGGGTCCCGATGGCTGTTGTCTGGCAAACAGCACTTGGCATCAGTGGCGCCGGCTTTGTTCCGGCTGATGTCGTGCACGAGAAATTGTCCCAGCTGCATCATAAGAACGTTATGCTTTCGATGCGGAACGTGCAAGTCTATGAACATGCTGTCCGACACGACCCGAGCACTCGGAAGGTATCGGCCATCGTGTGACAGGACACGGGATGATGATATTCCATTTCCGTACGTTGGAGGGAGGACCCGTTCCATCGGGTATCCCGCCGAGCCCCAGAGGGACTTGCCGGGACCGATGTTGTTGCACTTTCCGTCGAATCGACGGTAGCGGTGGTGCGTGACCTTACATTCCGGGCCAACGATGCAGCGTTTGGTACGGATGTGCGATCGGTTTGGCGAAGGGAAGTCGGATCTAGAGGTGGGGTAGGAATAGAAGCAGAATCAGAAACGATAAACTCTACTGCCGGCCTACCGAAGTACCAATTTTGGTTTTATGAGGGCTCTGTAGACCATGATTTCGACTTGAAGAATGCTATACAACCTTGATAAAACTTGCAATGTTGCTTGGGTATTATGTGCAGTCCGCTATGTCTTCGGGACTTGATAGAAATTATGAAAGATTTTTGATAGAAATCATGAAAGATCTAAACTTCCCAAAGGGGCATTAGGGGAAATGACGGCTTCGGTATGACAGACTATTTTCGGCAACACAAATTGAAACACTATTTTCACTGGATTTTCTTACGAAAACACTTCGCTGAATGCATGCAAACGATTCTTTATGCTTTCAGCTTCAATTTGACTATATTTTTACCACTGAGAAAAAGCAATCTAGCAAGGTTTTCTTAAAATGCAACACACGCACTACAAATTGTAGCTGATAACGAGTTGCCGATAATAGAACAGCAGATTTACATGCAGTTCAAATGGAACGGTTGCCGAAGAAAAACTGGTTGCCGACAATACTCGCTCTCACTAGAGAAGATTGGAGCTTTGTAAAAGCGTTTCAAAACAGTTTTTGACAATTCTTTCGACTGAAATTGTTAGAGCAGCTGGTAGCAAAAGATTGTAAACAAACCAATACTGCATATGTGTGCGTTCCTTAGAGAAAAAGGCTATAGAAAGAAGGTCGCTGCTAAGGTTGCCGAGAATACGTAAATTCCCCTATATACTCATGCAAAATTGGGTTCTTTACGAGGTTCTTTGCTGGTACCGCGGTAATTACATATTCCGTAGTCTGCATTACAAATGGAACCGGAATCCAACATTTCATAATTTGGAACTATTTAAAAAATAGTGTGATTAAATTAGTTAAAATCACCACATAATATATATTGGAGCGAGCTGTCATTTTGATAGTTTTGTGTCATGCTAACACCCACAAAAACACACTTCGAACACCCGTCCACCGCATGATAAGCACATTTTTAATCAATTCTGGCACCACTGCTAATTATGTTTACATTCGATCGTTTTGAAAAAAAAAATAACTTCGAAAAAGCCGTCGTACCGTTCTGTAATAGCCGGGATACGTAAACACTTTGGATCTGGATGGAAAACCTTCAATTCGATGAAAAGGAAGTCCGGAACCGGTTGAGATCCACGAATGCAGCAGCATCAGGAGGAGCAAATACTAAAAAGGTGCAGATGTCTTGCCAAAAATAAAGACAAACGCTACGAAACAGTTTCTGATTTCTGATAATCAGTCAAGTAGGTTCTCCCCAGTAGCAGCCCAATCACGACATATTGCATTTGCCCTTGGAGGTGTAACCAACCGGTGGAAACTAACGATTTTGAATTGACTCACTACTTGACTAGCCTATTGGTCCCTTCACATTTATAAGCGTACCCCATTCTAGTATAAATTCCAGTACTACACAATATTTGTTTTGATTTGATATGAAAGTTTGACAGATAAAATGATGGGTTCGTGGATTCTCCAATGTTTCGAGGGGTGCATCGATTAGCTTGGGACCGATGATAGTACTAGCAACAATCAATACGAAACCAACGATTTTAAATTGGCTCACTACTTGACTAGCCTATTGGTCCCAAGCAAACGATTAACGTACCCTATTCTAGTTGAAATTCTATTACTACACTATGTTTGTTTTGATTCGCTATGAAAGTTTGACAGATAACATCAGGGGTGTGTGGATTCATGCAGAACATGCAGGGGTGAGTGAAATAGCTTGGGACTGCTTGGGACCGTTGTTCTGGTACTGAGTGAGCCAAAAATAATAATGATTTTCTTCGGGACCCAGTGGTCTTAGAGTTACCTCTATGGTAGAGCCATAGAGGTAACTCTAAGACTAGTAGGTCCCGAAGAAACGTGCTCAACTTTTTGGCTCAGCTCTGGTACTATCTTCGGTCCCAAGCTAATCGATTCACCCCAAGAAACATAGGAAAATCCACTAACCCCTCATTTTATCTGTCAAACTTTCATAGTGAATCAAAACAAACATAGTGTAGTACTGGAATTTATACTAGAATGGGGTACGTTAGTCGATTTGCTTGGGACCAATAGCACAAACGAAGTGACAGACGACTTACTGGCGAAGAAATCCATTAAAATAATGTGGTTCACTGTAATAGAATTTTCTTGGAAGCTTGTGCCATCATCCACCAGATGGGTTAGTTTTTTTGTTTTGATTTGAACAAAGTTGATTTTGTGTACAATGATTCTTTGACAGTGTGCAAAGAGTGCGTATCATTTTGTCATTTTTTTATGCATTTCAGTTTTGAGTAGAGTGAAAGAGATAGAACCAACATATTCTAGTACATTTGGTGAAAATGCTAGTACAATCCAGTAGTAGTGTTGCCATGTGGTACAATCCAGTAGTAGTGGTGTTGCCATGTGGTACACTGAAAAATAGCAATAGAAGGTTAGTCAGCAAAGTTTTCGAGCCACTCCGTCTGTCACTTCGTTTGTGCCAATAGGCTAGTCAAGTAGTGAGCCAATTTAAAATCGTTAGTTTCGTATTGATTGTTGGTACCAGAGCTGAGCCAAAAAGTTGAGCTCGTTTCTTCGGGACCTTCTGGTCTTAGAGTTACCTCTATGGTATTACCATAGAGGTAACTCTAATACCCCGGACAGACTATGGCTTATATCATGTAATATAGGCTGGCTTGCAATGAGCACTCATACATCTAGTTTTCACTGGAAATCCTATATATGAGTGCTCATTGCAAGCCAGCCTATATTACATGATATAAGCCATAGTCTGTCCGGGGTATAAGACTGGAAGGTCCCGACATAACGAACTCAACTTTTTGGCTCAGCTCTAGTACTCTCTTCGGTCCCAAGCTAATCGAATCACCCCTCGAAACATAGGAAAAACCAATAACCCCTCATTTTATCTGTCAAAATTTCATAGCAAATCAAAACAAACATTGCGTAGTACTAGGACTAGAATGGGATACGTTAATCGTTTGCTTGGGACCAATAGGCTAGTGAAGTAGTGAGCCAATTTAAAATCGTTAGTTTCGTATTGATTGTTGGTATTACCTAGTAAAATATGTAGTGCAATACTGAATTGGTTTTTACTTCATAGGCGTCCCTCTTCGTACCACAAGAATGTATTGGCAGTGTCTCTGGTCAAAACGTATCCTGCTTTGGCGTCTTCCAACCTTTCTGTACCTCAAGCTCTGTGGTTTCACCCACATGCCAGAGGGGTAAATAAACATTCAGGCAGGCTACACTATTATATGGAATATCTGGTGCGTAAATCTGGCGAACGACTCATCTATCGTCAAAAAAACGTGACTGCTCCAGGCAACGTGGTCTTACCAGATATCAGTACTGCTATACACAAAGTTCCTAAGCAATAATCTATTTACACAGTGAACTGTTTTCAGAGAGAGGAATTAAAATTTATTTGTCCAGGACCGACAACGAAAGCACGAGTGCAGAAGCTGTGGTTGGCTACTTTTAAAGATCGGCAGCACATTCGCCATATGTTACCTTAAAGCGAAGACAACAAATCAAGAAGACTGGAAACTGCGCTTGAGTGAAGGTGGAAGCAACGCATAGAAAATTGAGCAAATATACAAACCCTTCTTCTGAGGATGTAATCTTTGCTATCAAATTCATTCGAAGCATTTACCTTTGAGCGGCAGATGACGTGATTGTACCTGTCTCATAGCATACGTATGAGAAAATGGAAGAGTTGCCAGTCTTCTTGATTTGTTATCTTCGCTTAAAGACAATCCAGTTGGGTTGGCATTCAATGGAGAGTTGGTAATATACTATAATAGAATTAATTAGTTATATATTAGGTAACAGTGAATCAGTACCACAGACAAAAACAAAACTTCCAATTTTGTCGGTGTTCCAATCATGTGACATGATTGTTTTACAGTTTTCCTCCTTGAATCTAGTTCTCCAATCGACGTATTATAGATAAAAGCACACAGTATATCCAAGTCTGTCGATGGTACGTGATAAATGTCTTATCAAATGTTTCATTATAACACTCCTTGAGAGCAGTAATTTTTTAAGTGTATTTTCGTTTTGTCTGTGGTATTTATTTTGCTTTTGTCTACATCTGATTAATCAAATGGGAGCTTATTACCCGGGCACCCCAACGCACACAATGAAAGTGGGGATTCTTTTATCTCAAGTATTAGTATACAAATTCATTAGGTTACATTGATCATTTTAGATCGAATTCCGTCTTCTCTGTTGAAGTAGAAACAAGAACGACATCGAAGCAAGCCATGCTATTATTAATTTATATTCTCTCAGAAAATAAATGTTAGTTACTGTTGGACCACCAACCAAGCAGGTTGTATGGGCCCAGCGCTTGGGTTGCCAAGAAACGGATCAACAACGGAAGAAAATTTTCATTGAAGCCAGGTAAAATGGAGAAAATTCAAGTCCCGAAGTTGAACGGAACGAATTACAGCAGCTGAAAGTTCAGCACCGAACTGCTGCTGATTCGTGAAGATCTATGGAAATACGTCACCGGGGCAAGACCAGAAGCACGAGCTGCGACGGAACGTGACCCGGGAAATGCGACCGCTATCGAAGCCTGGAACTCTGGGGACCAGCGTGCACGAGCGACAATCGGTCAATCGGCTGGAGCTCGTGAAAACCAAGCTGGTCGACGAAGTGACGAAACAAGGTAGCTACAACGCGGAGACCATTATGAAGGATGGATCTGGTAAGAAGGTATTCGTCTGTCATTATTGCCAGAAGCCGGGTCATAAGCAGCGGGACTACCGGAAGCTAGCGAGCGATCAAGAAGGAGAAAGCAGAAGCGACCAGAAGCACCGGAAGAATCCATCCAAAGCGAAGGCGGTTCGAGAAGCGAAAAATGACAACTGTGCTTTCACGGCGAAAGGGACTGGTAAAACCGGAAACTGGATCGTTGACTCTGAAATCCTTCCTTGAGCTGGACGAAGCAGTAA